TCATCACTTTGGGCACCATAGCACAGAGCACAAATTGAACTTGATTTCCCTCTTTGATACAGCACAACAAATAGTAATGAGCAACTTTCTTTGCCTGGACGAGGGGACAGCAGGCTGTCAGTCAGCTTCACAGCACTCAACTCCAGGCTGTGTCTACTGATGTGGAAAGAAGGAAATGTAAGCCTGTGCCTGGGGCTACTTCTGGGATGACATATTCCAAATTTGCTGGCTTTTATTCAACTCCTATAACATTTTCTTTCCTATTATTATTATTATAATAGATAGTAATAATTTTTACCACCTTAATGTTTTCTTCTGAGGAACTTGAAGTGTTTTGCAAACACTAATGACAATGCTTTCTTAACATAGGGAATAATAACAATCTCCAGTTTACTGATGGGGAGACTGAGGTATAGGGATCTAGTCAAAGTCAAAGGAATACAACGCACAGGCCCTACCTCCCAGGCCTCATATATTACATCATCTTTCATCTTATTCCCCAAAACCCATTCTTGGTCTTAGCATTTAAAGAGAGTTGACACATGTGGTGTCTGCCTCAGAAATTCTTTTTTTAATAGCAGATTAAAAAGTCCTCCCCTCCCTCTTTAGTTACTTAAGAAGTGGCTTAAGAGTGGCCCAAAATAGAATCACTGAATATTTCCAGAAGATTTTGAAAATATCTTCATTTTGTGGCTAGGAAGTTAGTTGTGTAACATTTACTGAGAAGCAAAGCTCTGAAAATGTATCTTGAAAGTAAGGCAATTTAAAAGTGAATTTAGCAGAAACTGTGCCATTCTGAAGTTTTCAAACCCAGCAGATTTTAACCTGCCTTGTGCCCTGTGCACTTACTCAGTTGTGCGAGATGCTCCTCTGTGTGTTTGTGGAGCTGGCTGGGGGAACCTGGGAGATGTTCCCAAGTTGCAGTAAACAAGCGGGCCTAACGTGATGCAATTGGACTTATCACTTGACATATCTCCACACCATGAAGTGTTTTAAGTGGAGGCTTCCTAAAGGACTCAGAAATGCTGAAGGCAACCTGGGGGCCTACCTCATGAGTACATGCCTTCCCACTATTTTTGAATGCACAGCCATGCTAACAAAAATATGCTGAGCTTGACATGCAAGTGTACACTCACCCACAGGCATGCAGATGAACATGCCTGCATACAGGAAACTCTCAGATATAAACACCCGCCCGTAAGCAGATCAAACTTGCACAGTAAGATAGCTACATTGGCTCAGAAAGCATGTTCATAGACTCAGTTACATACACAACCACCCATGTGTCTCCATCAACAACCATTCACAACACAAATACGTATGAAATACGTATGCTTGCATACACACTCTCTTTCCCCCACACACGGATTCACGTCTGTACACTCTTCCATGGATTTGTAGCCCCTCCACAGGCATCCAAACACATTCAGGAACATATACTACAACCAATGGAGTGCACACACAAAGACCCACCCATGCACACTCACATATATCTTAACGAAGGTTTTGGTCTGGGAAATTCCTTTTCAAGAAACAAAAAATAATTGTCAAAAGGAAAAAACAGAGCATGGGGAACTGCACAAATAGATGCAAGCACATACCTACACACACACTGTGGAGCTTGTCAGTCAGGGTTCCCACCACAACTACAGCTATTGCAGCTCAGCACCTGCTGGGTATGCTTCCCCTGAGTGCAAACGTCTGGTGAACCTCACAGAGATTTCAGGCTTACGTGTCTATGTCCACGTGTCAAACTGACCTGTTCCAGGTTTCTCTGTCTTCCCTAACTGACAACAATGAAAACTGTCCCTTAGCTCCAAGAGCAGCACCTTCCAAGACCCTACCGCAATCATTCTTCGGCTTCTAAGGAGCTGGGCAGAAACATCTTACCTGCACCTGACCAGGGTAAACATCTCCAATTAGTGGAGTTTATTGGCATTTTAGAGTTGTTGGTTTGTTTTTTTTTTTCAGACTCCAGGTCTCTTGGAACAAGACAAGACAGTGTACAGAAACACAAGGCAGGGTTTGCTCAAACCCACAAACAGCAAGAAAGCAACAAGCTCCTGAGGAGAAGGGGAGAATTGTATCTGACAAACTGCCTCACACTGCTCGGGAAGGTGACAACTGTCCGTCCAAGATGGGCTGCTACTTCCAAAGCCCATCTGCTACAGATGTAACAAATCAAGTGCTTCTAGCAGGAAGGGAATCCAACAGGACAAACCAACATACACAACATTCTCTTATTCAATAAGGGTTATAAGTGCAAAGGGATTTCAGAACATTTCAGAACAAACTTCATCCATAGCTGCTGCTCATTTATCAGTGCATCAAAAGATTGTGCAAGTTTTTAGTAACAAACATTAGAAACTAGTAGCAAAGAACTTGCCTAGATAAAAAGAGAAGATTTAAACATGCCAGGTAACAAAAAGACGTGTGCAGAAGTCTGTAAAAACTGTATAGAAGGAAAGGATTCTTTAGAGGAAACAGAGGGACCATCATGAAATGCTGTTCATAACCCTAACTAAAAGAGTCAGGGCCGCTCCTGCTGCCTCCTCAACTAAGACAGGTGATGGCTGTTTGGACAGAGGCATACCCTCATTTTTCATAGACTTCTGCAACCAAAAACTGGATTCTGGGCCTTGGCTGACACGAACTTGAATTTAGACAGGGAGTGGAAAAGAGAGGGAGCCTTATCGGTGGTAATTAAACACACCAGTATGGATAGCCCTGGAGACTGAAGCTCTGAACACAGCACAATTAGCAGCAGCGTGCCCTTCTCAACAACATGCTGAGAATGAACGCGATTTATCCTGCTTAAATTTAGCGTCTGAGAGCGGGGTGTCTAGACAAACCTAACAAACCTAGACACTCTCCAGTCACTGGATGGGCACCTCCAAAGAGCAATTCGTTTTCCCTGTCATAGGCATGTACAGGGAGGCACCAGTTGGCCTGGGGAGGTGTGCATTTCTCTCCAATAATTCTAAGAGGAAGCCTGGGTGACTATCTGTCTTCCTCTCAGATGACTAAAGTTTAATGAGATGTATATCAAAGTGTCTTAAACCATGACGTAAAAAGTTATTTAATATATTGGAAATTACTGTGAATTTCTTCAAAAGGATCCATTAGATTTTCCCTCCAGTACAGGGTTTCAGACTATGATAGACCTCCATTTATTTATCAAAACACAAGGATTTCCCTCCTTTCTGCTTGGAAGATTTTTGTACGGATTCAAATACATTAGTCAGGAAAGTCTTGTGGATGTTTAGCATAATTCATCTCCAGTTAATCGTACTTATTTCCTCAATTACCACGGACAGTTCTGCCTCTATGGATGAGAACTGAACTGTTCCACAATCTGAAGGCTACTACCAGGGTCCCCATTTAGTTTTCTTGTGACAAGTATGGCATAAAAAAGGCTTTCATTTCATTCTTTAAAATTAACAACTTCACCCTGCTGATCATTGTAACTTCCCTCTACAAAGTCAGCCCAACCCTAATATCTCTCTAGTAAAAGGGTAACCAAAATTGTTTACGACATTCTGGGGGAAATGCTGCGAACAATTTTTTGCGTCCAGAAAGTAGGACATTTAAGAGATGTAAAATAAAAGTTCATTTTCAGTTAGAAACTATTTTCTGTTCTCTCAAAAGACAAAATAGACTAGTGTCAAATAAAATATTTCATTTATTCTAAATCAAAATATTACAACTTGGATAAATGTCCCTGTTTTGGAATTAAAAAAAATGAACTTGAACAGAAATTAAACTAGAACCAAGATATGAAAACATTTTGTTTGATAAATTCAAAGTAAGGCATTTTGATTTTTTCAAAATGTTGCCTATGTTTTACCCTAAACACAGCACTGAGTGAAAACTGTTGTGTCACTCTTCTGCTTGCGCTGGATTGCCTCTACAGTACACAATTCCAAGCTGGAATGTTTATTCAACAGCCACATCGTTTTGCAAATTCATGATTGATTTGCTCTTCGTTAACATATTTACAGAAATTTTCTTTCAATCTTTCTATTTTCCTGGCCTCACTAATCAGGATTTTGCAGTGCAATTTTTGTCCGTGCTCATAAACTTAGTGGGTCCTTTGTAGTCTTTCATTTGAGAATCTGTGTGCTTCCTGCCTGTCCTTTGTCTATTTCTCCTATAATTCTATATCCATCCACCTCCAAAAAAAGAGAGGAAAAAGTTTGCCTGAGGGGATTTATTCCTTGAACACCAGCTGCTCATTTCAGTCTCCGTGGCTCATTCAATCCTTCACCTGTCTGCTGAGGTGGGCACCAGTGGGGCCAATCAGTGTCAATTGTGCTGGTGGAATTTGTCAGACGGAGCAAACTGGGTTGCAAATCCAAAAAAACTGGGTTGAAACTCTGGCGCTTTGTTTTTCTTTGGGCTTTCTGTTTTGTTTTTATTTTATCTACCTTTTTCAAATTAGGAACTGAACATTAGGAGCAGGTTCCTCTAAACAGAGATGATTTGGTCTTTATTTCTTGTGGAGGAAGCCTGGGTAAGGAGGCACAGGGAGGATTCCTGATTTGGTTCCCGCAGTTCCACCTCGAAAGAACTGACCTTTAGATCTCTGTGGGGTGGAGAGTATTGAACTGCCATGGGAAGCAAAACATAACACTGGGTAGACCAAAGTGCTGGCCTGGGACTATTCTAGCAGCTTCCCATGGCACAAATAGCTTTTTCACTTACACTCCACGTTTCCCATCGCTTTTCCTGCTATACAGTTTAATTCATGCCAGGCGGATTATGAAGGGAAGAAAATGATGCAACAGTCAAAAAGTCCTTTAAGTCGTTCCAAAAATTAAAACAAAATAAAAAGAAAACAAAACAAACAAAAAAAAAGAGAGAGCTTCAAAACTAAAAAAAAAGCTCTGAAAACAAACTCAAAAGAAAGGAGGAAGGGGGAGGAAAAAAAAAAAAAGAACCCGGGAAAGGCAAATGAATGTTAGAGCAGGCACGATCATGGACAGACGCCAGCTACTTACGTTCACCTCGGTGATTGCTATATCAACAATGCTACCCACAACAATCAAGGCGTCAAATGTATTCCATGCATCACAGAAATAGTGCTGCATGTGGCAGGGAAGCCAAGGAAAGAGAGAGAGAGAAAGGAAGAGAAAGAAAGAAAAAGAGAAAGAGAGGAGGGAGAGAGAGAGGGAAAGGGAGAAAAGAGGGAAAAAAAGTAAAAAGTAAAATAAAATAAAATAAAAAACAAAACAAAACAAAAAAAAGCATGAAAGAGGGAGAGAAGAGGAAAAAAATAAGAAAAGAAAGAGGTTACGTGGGCATATTAAATAGTCTCTTACCACTCTACAGTATTGGTTGCTCAAACCTCTGTAACGTTTCACATGATGGAGGGTATCAACAAAAGCCTGGTTAGTCAGAAAGTTACACTCAAGCATATCTACCTTTTGGAGGGAAAAAAAGCACACACACCCCAAACTCTGTGCGCTTTCACCAGTCACAGCCTTGGGGCGAGCTATGACAAGTGAAAAAGAAGGAGGCATTTCCCCCCCTCCTTTTTTTTTCCCTGGGAGAAGGAGAAGGACGACGGCAAGTTCAAGAAAAGCATGACTAGAGGGAAAAAAACCAGAAAAAAAAAAAAGAGAGAGAAAGAAAGAGAGAAAGAAAGAAGGAACAGCAGAGGAGGAGGAGGTGGTGGTATCCTGGGGAGGGTAGAGTAATACTCACATTAGTTTCACTGAGAATGACGTCTATAATGCTGCCAATTACGATGAGGAAGTCAAAAACATTCCAAGGATCACTAAAGTAACCCTACATAAGGAAGGGGCAGGCAGGATGGGGATTAAAAAGGAATGTTAGACAGACAAAAACAGTTCAAAATTACCATTAGAATTACTGCCCTGATACCTCAAGGGGTTTTCCTCTTAAGTCTACTTGTCCCGTCTCAAGCTGTAGGCCAGTCCTGGGATCCCTGACTTACGTGAGCAGCCCCTATCCAGCTAATGCGATCCCAGGGCAGCCAGTCCTCCCTTCCGACTCTGGGACGGAGCGGGGGGCGAAGGGAAGCCACATAGAGGACTTTGAGCATGGCTGCTCACAGGAGTAGGGTTTGCAGGACCAGCTCCTCCAGGCATCTCCGATTCCTAGCAACACAGCACCCTTCCCCATTTGGCTTGGATTTGGCTGGGGAAGAGTACAGGAATGGTGTCATACGGTTCTCTCAAAAAAATGTCTCCCCTTCTGCCAGTGTGAATATCAATCCACCAGGCCACGTTCCAGATGTAACACTCTGTGTGGCACTGGGAACAGCCGGCTGCCGCGTCACGATGGAGCAGAGGGCACAGTCGAGCTGGGGATGTGCTATTTAAACCTCACTGGTTGTCTCCTTTATCTTTACCCAGCCACAATGAGTATTACAACAATGATTAACTTGACAGTTTCGGTTACTAATGCTTGAGCTCCTGTCTTAAAACTACAGAGCAGGACTGGTATTTTTGTTACTCTGAAAGCACGTCTGCACCACAAAATGAAGGTGTGAATGTAGCATGTGCTGGCGCATCCCACCAGAAAGGGGTAAGAACGAGAGCAAAGTTGGCTTTAGCATGTGCTTAGAGATCTGTTGCTCACTCATGCTAAAGATAGTGCCACAGCGTCACTGCAACATCAGCTGTCTCGGACAAGCTATGGCACATCCGCTACCATGTGCTAAACTCATACCTTCGCTTTGCTGTGCAGAATTACTTTGGGGGCTACCTCAAACATCTCATTGTCCTAAGCACGGCTCAGGAGATGCTAATCAGCACTGCTTGCCATTCCCATCCTGCATGATTTTTGGCTGGATGGGCCATAAGGATACAGGACCCTTTTGGAAAAGGTCCTGTTCAGCCCAGGAGGTGAGCTTCTGTATGTAAACTTCCTGTCCTAGTCAATGCCACGAGCAAAGAAAACTTATCGTGGCTCACTGAACACCTGCGCCAACCTCTTCCCCTTGTTCTGCAGTCCTAAAAGGAGACAAACATACAAAATCCTCCGTACTCTTTTTATGTGTTTGATTTTGTGAGCATAGGCTAATCTGACCTCCCTGTTTCCCAGCTGCAGCATGTCTCCAGTGAGACTGAACCCAAGTTGCACTGTGACTGCTATTCTTAGCCAGAGAGTCAGGTCATGGGTAAAGTGTGAGTCTGTGTTCCCAGGCCGCGCTGCAGAAAGCAAAAAGGAGAAAAGAAAAAAAAAAAATTTTAAAAATCCCAGCACTGGCACTGCACAAGCCAGGCTTGGGAGCCTGAAATTATTGTGGGTTCAACCATCACATGGAGCAGGCTCTGGCAAAAAGTGTCTTTCTAAACACTGAAACACTGCCTCCAGGGTGCTTTGAGACTCATGGTTACAAACTGCGTTATGTTTGGGGCAGGAGAAATGAAAAACAAACAAAAAGATGAAGCAGAGAAAGCCACTGCCCAGCTGGTTCCACACCAGTGAAGGGAGCTGGTAGAGTGATCTTTGAAATCTCCTCAAAATCAGAAAAAAAAAACCCTTTATTCTGCAGCCTGAAATAGGCAACTCTTAGCAGATCTACATTGGGAGGAGTAATCATCCCATGGCTACACATTACTATGCAATTAGCTACAACAGGGAGGAAGGAAACAGGAGCAAAAGCAAATTCAGAGAATATTATTATTCAGCGTCCAGCCTAGAAAATACACAACAAATATTAGAATGAATTCAGCGGTGATGTCCAGCATCATTAGCAACCAGATGGACCTGGAATAAAACTGTAATTAGACTTCACCAAGAGGAAGGGGAGGGAGAGAACAGCAGATTAAATTGTAGAGGCAAACGCATTTTGAATAAATAAAGGACAGACACAGACCATATAGAGTTGCAAAAAGTGCCTTTGCAGCCTGATGCGGCCTTGGCAGAGAGTACACTTGCAGGATCAAAGAGAATGGAGTAGAAGACAACAGACCCAATCCTCCTGCCCCTGTTCATGTGCACAGTCCTGCTGAAGGCAATGGCACTGCTCACATGCCAAATGAATACGTGCATTCAACAGCATGGCTACCTTCCATTTCCTTCTCAAATTGCATAGTTTAGGAACTATTAAGGATTTCAGCAAGAACCCAAACAACTCCAAAAAAACAGAGTTTGCTTTTGGGCAGCTTCAAGGGGGAAGATCCAAAACATGTTCAGGTTTTGCCCACAAAAATGATGACTGTCTATTTTTAGATCTATGGTGATGGATAGGTGGTTATGCTTACTACGATTGGCATCATACTGAAAGAATGTTTTTGGTGTAACCAAATTCACAATTTCACAATTTGTTTTTACTGAGCAACTCCAGACATAGAGCCCAATAGCCATTGCTGCTGGTAACACAGCATTTGCTGTTGGTACAAAACCCAGGTGAAAACCAGCATCAAATCCTGTCCTTAGATGACCACTGAAGCCAGCGAATTAAATTTTGCTCCTGGTTGCAGTAATGTAACCTCACTGGAAGCAATGACACTGCACTGACACAGTTGGCACATCTCAGGAGAGACTCAGGCCTGGAAAGAAAAGGTCCCTTTTTCATTGCTATCGCAAATAGATGCTTTGGACCTTTGTGGCACTGCAGCACATCTGGAGTCACTCTGCTAACTTCTGTGGAGTTGCTCCAGATTTACACTGTGAGCTCTTTCTCCTGGAATGCTCTGTTGAGTCTCATCAGCCAGCTCCTTGCTTGAAAGTCATGGGCTGCTCTGCTCTGGGATCACAGAAAGAGCATTACCATGGTATGTTATTGTGTAGCCGTAAGGTGGACTCATAGAGCTTTTCTCTTCCTCCTGTACCTCTTAGATGAGTGACAGAGAGGAACCATGGGTATGAATGCAGTTTTACTCAACCCCACATCCAATATGCCAGTGTTGAATTAAGGAAACACATGAATTTAAAAATCTTCCTTTCCTCCTCACCTGCTCCCTCTGTGTTTCAAACAGAAGTGTGAAAAACAGAAAGATATTATTCACAGTAAGAGAGCTCAAAGAAAACAGAACATAGATGCTTCATTTGCGTGCAAGGCAATGGAATCCTTCCTTAAAAAGCCACCCTCTTAGAGACATTTACCTACGAATGGCCATGTGGTTACTTAGCTTTAGATCAGACCTCATAATCTTGTCAGGAGTTATGAGTACATATTGAGAGTAAACTACACCCCTTGGGGACTTGCCTCTTGCGACCTCAAAGTACCTCTTCAAGCCACATTCCTCGCTGGAGTGTACCAGGGTGGCTAATGAAAGACAAGCTGAATGAAGGAAGAGCTTTCACTCCAATAAAGAGGTTGTATTTCCAAACTATTTTTCCCACCAGAAAGTTCTGTATACTTTTCCCAAGGGGGTGGAGGTCTGACTGGAAATGAATTGATGGCACTGTTTGTTTTTGCAGTACAGGAATTTAGAGTGTAATACCATATTTTACCCTTAAAGGGAGACGCTTGACCCTGATTTAGCTGTATAATTACATGTCACATAATGGCAGCCTCAGGGGCTTACTGGGGAATGGTAGTCACCCTCTCCTGTGGGATGTCTTTGGAGATCCATGAAGCTTTTGGGGAGAAAGAGGACAGAAAGAGACCAGGAGCATTGGACTGAATATTCAGGAAGCATGAAATAGCCCCACCATTAGAACACGTTTTTTCCCCATTTTTTTATTTCCCCAAAGGTAGCAAAGGATAGTGTATCATCATGTGATCAATAAGTTAATGAAAGGCTGAGCATAAATATGCAGTAGCTGACTGGAATGGAATCTCATTTGTGCAAGGGGAGCAGACATCGTAGCATTTCAGAATGAGTATGCCAATCATTTTTAGGTTTCCTAGTTGCTGAGATTAGCTATCAAAGAAGCTGTGGTTTGTTTTGCTACTCATGGAGCCATTGAAATCTCTGGAGACCATTTCTTTTACATTTTGTGAATATGAAATCCTAAATGCAGTACCTAAGAAGCCTCATTAACAGCAGAGAAAATTGCCCACTGGAGTCTATCTGAAGGTCTGAGCTCAGAGTCACCTGGGGCCCATAATAAGAACATGTGGTGGCTGGAGAGCTATGCATCTACACTGAAGCACAGAAATCCTCAGGGGAAGGGTGCTGTTGAGTCATGGTACCAGCTGGGTTTTGAGCATCCAGCCCTGTGGGAGCTGCAGGGTCACTTGTGTGTTAATTGATGTGCAGTTATTTATCTGTTTGGTCCCAGGTTTTCATTTCCATCTCTTGTGAGGTGGCTGGCAAAAGTTAAAAAAAACCCTCTGAGAGAAAAGCCTCTAAAGATGAAGAGTACAGCAAGGGCCAAGGTTATTCACTGGGTGGGATCTGAATGTAAGTTAGATAGATAGTCCCCAGTAGAAGATGCTGCAATGTCATAGGAAAAAAGGGAAAGACATGCATGCACGTATGTGTGAATACAGAAATGAAGCATCAAGTAGGAGAAATGAAGACATATAGATAACTACACAGCCTAAAAGGAAAGGAAACTACAGGAGAACCTTGCTAACGCCTATCTGAAATAAACCTGCAAGTTAAAACAACAAAAAAGAAGCATCAATCTTAATCAGCTGGAAAGTATATGGGAAGGAGAGAAAGGGGCTGATACCCTGATATTCAGTGTGATTTCTTAGGAAAAATTTCCT